TGACATTGTTGAAAATTTATTTGATAATGACTAAGAGTGTCATATATAGCTTGAGCCACTAATTTTCCTGAACAATTCGCTAAATCCTTCATTTCTAGTACGCGAAAATCTGGTTTGTTATTTGTTGAATTCCAGAATATAATACATAAAACAAATATTTTTTGCTGGCCTCGTGTCGATTCGTCCACCATTATTCCGAAGGAAAAAAATTCCAAAAAATTATTCTGGTTAAAAATTTGATTTATATGGATCTCACTAATCTCCTTATTCCATCGAACAATTGATTGCCGTGAAATTGGTATTAACGAATCATCTCCAGATAAAAAACCCAAGATCATTTGAGTAGCTTGAACCGTATTTCAGAATGAAATTTGACCGATTTGTGATACTTGTGTTGCCATGTTGATAAATTGAGTTGTGTATTCATATTTATTTTTCATGAGCATAGCTTGAATACTTGTTTTTAAGCTTCGTGAGTCTAAAACTTGAGGTTTACGAGCAATTGCACATATTTTTGAGATATTCTGATGTTGTTTATGTTCAAATTGAGCTATCGATCCTGCCAATTGCTTAAGTTTATAACTTTTTTGAGCATTGGAATATTCTAATTGATTTATTTTTTTTTGAAGGGTTTTATTTTCTTGAATAAACGATTTTGAGTCTTGGCCTACTTTGTGAAGTGAAGAATTCACATAATTTAATGCCTTATTTTGTATGAACGGGGAAAATAAATTACCCTCCTGTGACTCTTTGGAATATCTCATCGTAGTTAACATGTGACTTGCAGATTTTAGTTGGTTATCCGGCAATTGTTTGATAGTTTCAATTAGCTTTTGACGACGTGTAGTTTGAATTACTTTTTTGTTGCTAGTTAATTGGATAATATCTTGGTGAATTACTTCTAATTCATTATCGTTCATTTGTAATAATGCTTTATTGATAGTTTGGATTTGTTCTTCACGATTAACAGTTTTTCGTACATTTACTGACACTTGATTAGCTTTATGTGCTTGAAGTTTACGCTTGGATAGTCTCGGCATTTGGTCTATTATATATATTACAATTAATATATATTTCAAACTGTTTCAGTGTGCCTTTTTCAATACGTATTTACCTCCAAATTTTAGAACAAGTTTGAAAATGGTTTAAAGATCAAAGTTATGTTTAAATATTTGCTAGGTTATATAAATTTGAGTGTTCAATTTTTTAAAAACCTAACATTTTTTAAAATTTTTAAAAATATTTTTTTTAATCCAACATACAATAATAATTTTAAAGGCTTTCAAAAAAAAAAGATCGTAATTACTTTGAGACGATTTACAAGATAATTCCCAGTTGAAAGAACCAAGAAAAAAGAAGAAGGTGATCGTGGGAATCATTTAGAATTTTTCACCTTACTTTATATTTAATATATTTAAAATGATTTTTCACTGATCTTTTTAATTTCGCTGATAAAAAATTTGATCATAGTAAAATTACTAATATACCTTACATAGGTTTGATTAAATATGCCGTATACCACCCTATTGTCGTATGTATGTACGTACGTACTTTATCGTACGGGTTATGCGTGGCATCACATGTTGCACAGCTACCCTAACGGTTTAATGGTAAATGGAATGGTGTGCGCGATTTTTTACTAACATATGCGTAAGTTTTTGATGCTGTTTAATGGTGAAATAAAAACAAAATCGATAAGATCCAATATGCAAATTCGATTTTAATTAAGCATTGCGTGTCTAAAAAACATCATAATATTGTCTGGTTATCGATTTAAATATCATTTGTCTTATTATTGTGGCTTTTGAATTTGTAATACATGCAGGTTATGCCAACTGTTTTATCACGATTCTACCCCCATTAGATTTTTCAAAGAAGGTTAAATCACTGCTACAAATTGAACAATAAGAAGTTGGTTCATAGTTTTATCTGGTCGAACTTTGGTGAAAAGCTAAATTACTATTAAACAATTATAAAATTTTCGCTATGCTTGTATAACCCACAAGAAAAAAGTTTCATCAATTAAATTTCACCATTGTCGTATCTATAATTAGATACTATACTCTCAATAAGATAATGCGAAACCCGACTACTAAGATAAGGAACCCTTTTATATGATATGGCTTGGATTTTGTAGCCTTTGTATATTAAACATCAATTCCCCCCTTTGCTATTACATTTAAATATGAGGTTAATTGCTTAACCCCATTATTCACTATCTCATGGATGGTCGTTCTCTTCCATTTTATGTCATTCTTTGACCAAAATCCATATGGCATAGCCAGCAATACTTTGCTTCAATTTCCTTGTCCAGTTTTTCTAATTCATTGGCGCCGAATTTTTCTCTCATATTTCTAGTTCTTGCTTTTAGATGTTATTATAATATTCAGATTTTTGAATCCCCGAGTTTTTGTTAAAAAATGATGCGACTACTGGAAGTCCTTGCTCTAATAAAAGAAATTCTTTGTATAATTTGGCAACTTTTAATTTATTATCCGTAGGATGCCAAACAATGAAATGTATTTCAGTTCTAGGCTTATGGAACTGCTGTTTATTACCAGATAAAGATCTGGAATGCGATAATTTGGTGGAAGAAGTATTTCTACAATTGCTTGCAGAACTGCTTTATCCGTTAAAGTCAAAGATATCGTAGATCTTGTAAGTAATGATTATTCCAAAAGGCTAGTGGTTTATATAGATAATTTATCAGTATGTAGATCATTTCCAAGTTTATGCTAAACATTTAATCGACCCCGTTAGAGGCGCAAACAATTTTGCGGTGCTTACGTTATGGCTGTAATACTACAATAGCAACCTGTTATAGCACATATATGTATTGTCATGTGTTGTTTAAGGTGTGATGAGTAGGGGTATCGTCCCAATGATGCCGTAACTTTGCCGTAACGTACCGTAACTATATTAAATAATTATAAAAAGTTACGGCACATCTGCCGTTATTTTTTATAATTATTTAATATAGTTACGAAACGTTACGGCTAAGTTACGGCATCATTGGGACGATTCACCTGCACCTCTAGTGCTGAGATCTCCTGAATTTAATAATAATTGAGGTCTGGCTTAACAAAATGACATTATCGGAATTTGAGGATTCTCCGATTGATCAAAATAATTAATAAACGCTATTATAACGATGATAAAATAACAATTATTGTCGCAGCTGATGCTGAAAACGGCTGATGCTGTAATTCAGATCTATTTTGATATGAATTTTTTAAAATTTTTTGGGGTGTTTTTTCCCCGCTTTTTTTTTATAGTTGAATTAGTGTTTAGGGTTAGATTTGATAATTAACAAGTATATGTGGATTTTAACAGGGCTTATATTTTTAAATCGAGACCCCAAATTTCAGCTTCAGCCGTTTTCAGCATCAGCTGCGACAATTATTAATCGGAGAATTCTCAAATTCCCAGACTGTCATTTTATTAGACCAGTCCTCAATAAATAATAATAATTAATAATGATTATTAATGCATTACACGTGAACTGCTAAAAATTGTCGTATTTCGATGATTAAAAACGATTAATAATACTAGGAAATTTAGGAAATCAGAATTCGATAAAGGCTCGAAGCAAAAAAAATAAAGTTTGCAGCTCGTTACACATTATACATTGTGTTTAAGTCGATATAGCATTAGTTAACTTAGCTGATTTAGGGTGTTCTTAAGCACCTCACTCAACGATCGGAGGCAAATTTTTAATAGAAGTGAGCTGCCATTGCGATGAACAGATCAGCGAGCTACAAACATCGTTTTTCTTCAAAAATTTACTATTGATGAAGGTTGCTTAAGCATTACTTTTAATTTTTTACATATCAAACATAATAAACAATAAATTCGCAACAAATTTTTAATCGATATGAAAAAATAACCACTTTATTTTTAATTCTCGAAGCTTTTAAAATAAACAATCGATACCTTGATATGAACGTAAAATAAATACACCATCTTTTAACATTTAATTAAACCATAATGAATTCTCTATTCCATTTTTCGTTCAATAAAATTTAAATATTATGATTCGCAAGAAAAATTTTTTTTTATTTGTTGTTGTAAAACAACTTTGTTAATGATTAGTTTTGTTGCTATAGCAATAAAAGTTTTGAATCGGTAAGATTATTAAAAAGAGAAGCCGACGCAGCCGAAGTTAAAGTTTCGACAACCGGTTGAGTAGAAATTTTTTTAAGGTGTTTTAGATGGCATAACGCAGAT